ATAAATAAAAATTGATCTTTAAAAAGAAAAAAAAGAGCTCCAGGAAGGCCAGTGCTCAGTGTCAGGCTCACTGCAGAGCTTCAGGGCAAAAAAACAAGTGCTCAATAAGTGCACGCTGTGGAGTCAAAGACGTCCCAGACAACGGGGTGGAGACACAGAGGGAACAGTCAAAGTGGTTACTGGGAGCGGACACAGGGCCGCAGTTCTCTGAAGCCCTGTTCTCCCTGTGGCCATGGCTGCTTCCCCAAGCAGCTTTTACAAGAGGCGGGAGCAGCGAGTGACACGCTTCCTGGGTGAGAGAGGTCTGGGGAGATAAGAAGTGGTTGCAGGTGAGTTCAGAGGAGGATGTGAGTTTCATCCTCTGGTTTGATGTCAGGGTGACTAGGAGACTGGGAGGAAGGGAAACGGCGGGGGTGGGAGGTGGGAGCAAGTCGACAGATTGGAGGCGACTCTGGTTCCCGCTGCCATGACCATGTACTCCAAGGTTTCACGCCTTTAAGAAATGTCCCCCATTTTGGGCCTCCCCGGTGGCGCAGCGGTTGAGCGCTAGGTTGCGAAGCTGCCCACAGCCTCTACAGCGCCAGTTCAATCCCCGGCCACCGGGCGAGGGTCCCACATGGCGCACAGACCTCTCCTGCCGCCTGCTGCTCCCCTCAGCAGTGTACTTCGGTCCTTCTGCCTGCTCTGCTCCCCGCTCTGGCTCTGGTGAATTCTCTCACCCTCCCGCGCTTCTGACTGTACCCAGTGCTTGTATACATTAAAAAAATAAATCTTTAAAAAAAAAAAAGAGTATTAAAAAAATCAAGATTATTTAAAAAAAAAAAAAGAAATGTCCCCCATTGTCTATGTCTCTTGCCATAGGCCTCCCTTACCATTGCTTGACCCAGGCTGGCTCTCTTGGGCTTCTGGGGCTCAGCTCTGCTTGAGGCAGAGCTACAAACAGGCCTGTTTGTAGAGATAGCCACTTGGGTGCTCGGTGGAAGGATTTCCTTTCCTCCTGGGATGAGCACATTGTTCTCCCCTATAACTCAGCATGTGGGTCAACTGGGCCACCAAATGCCTCTTTGATGCCTTTTTACCAAGTGTTTTACAATGCACTTCTTAGAAAATTACCCGGTTCCTTCTGTAACTCAGCAGGGAGATGCAGCATGAACTGAGAGCGTGGCCATTATGCTAGTGAATAATTTGAGTTTCAAGTGCAGTTTTGGCACCCCTCAAAACAAATAATTACCAAAAAGTTATCCAGCTGCCCTCCCAGGCTGCCACTGGCTTTGTCTTGGGGGTGCAGCCTTCCCGGCAGGCTCTGTGTGAGCCTCCATGAACAGAGCCATCAAGACCCCCTCCAGGTCCCTGTCAAGGACCACAGCAGAAAGTTTTGGCAGATCTGGCCCTGGAGAAGATAAAGCCCTTAAACAGAGATTAGCCACGCTCCTTCCAGCCCTGCTCACAGCCAAGAGTCAAAGTCGATATTTACTGAGTGGAAAAGGACAAAAGGAAACAAATTTCGTTTGCAAGCTCTCCAAACAGACCAGAAAAAGTAATTCTCCACCGCTACCCCGTCCGCCTCCTCATCAGAAGGCTAAGTTATTATGTCCCTGCTCCGAGGCAATTTCAACATTTTTGTCTCTGAATCACAAACTATCCGTTGGATCGTTGAATAAGATGTTCCGCAAAGAGGTCATGCAGGAGGATGTCCTTTCCAAAGCCACAGGGCCATTTTAAATGACCTATGAGGACTTAAAATGACAACAACACCATTACTATGATAGACCAATAAAGACTCGGGAAACCTTTGAAAGAGAATTCCTAAAAGGTGGCACTGTTCCTTGACAATCTGCTGAGGAGCAGGGTCAAAAAATGGCGCCCATTTAATCAGAGTGCCTTAAGAATGCACCCAAACCACCAGCCTTCCGGGCACAGTGACAGCACACCAGCTGGGGAAGAAACCTCAGGATTAGCTACGCCACACTCAGCACTTTACTGATGAGGAAATGAGGTCTGGCAAGATGAGACACCTTGATCTAGAACACGCAGGGCCTGGGCAGCAGAGACCAGACACGTCACCCAGTCAAGAGCTCCCTGATGCCAGTGGCTGCGAACACAGTGCTGGGGGAGTCCTTTGGCCAGGGGCAGTCCTTCTGAAACCCCCTCATGAGGCAGAGAGCACAGCCCTGGATGAGGGACAGCCAATCCCGTCTTGCTCTGTCAGCCACGGCTCCCACTGCCCTGCCTGCCAGTGCAAGTGCTCCTGCAGTTAGAGGTGGCCCCATCGTTTGCATCTGGAAACCGAACTCCTTGCTAGGAAGGTAAGTAGGCACCGCACCAGGGTTGCCACAGGTGACCACATCCCACGACTCTCGCCCAAGGCCAGATAAACAGCTCAAAACTGATGAGCAAGTGGGGATGGCTGGGGCCCTGACTGTCAGCCCTCCAGCAGAGCAGGAGGGATGACACTGAGACTTGAGGGCAGGATTGCAGAGATGTGCCCCAGAGAGCCTGGTCCATGCTGGCATTCTCCCCGGAGCCCACCGCACTCTTATCTGGGATCCGCTATTCACCTTTCCCTCTCTAGAAAGCTACTTCTCCATGGCAGGTGGAGGGGAGCTACTTTTTCTTGCATTTTGTTCTAAAAGACAGGGACATCCTAGTTACACCTTTTCCCCGCAGCGTTCCAATGGAGCCACGCGGCTGTGTCTAACAGGGCTGCTGCCCCAATCGACATGCTCAAAAGGTCAAAGCCAAATACTAAGTGCTCCGATTAAATGTGAACGTTCCTTTTTGGGTGGATGGGTCCTGTTTAATCTGTGCGGATCCAGTAATCAACAGGCTTCTCTCTTCCACTTCAGAAAAGGCGAAGGAACAGCTAAATAGCGTCCAACATCTAGTTTCTCCGTGTACAACAAATGTCAATGATATGCAAACAGACACTCAGCAGCAAACGGCTGGTCCATCAGAGTGGATGGTGCACAGGCTGCTCGCTCCTCTGAGATCTGCCTTGAGGGGAGGACCTGATGGGTCTTTCAGGAGCCTCTCCCTGGTCAGGTCTGCACAGAGTAGATGTTGTCTTTATTATGCAAAAGGATGGATCAGAGAAAATAAATTAAGCAGAGGGATCAACTAATCATAATTATCCTCCAAGTTCCTACTTTGGCTAGGCAATGGAGAATGAGGCATGGACCCCCTCCTTGCACCCTGACACTCAGGCCTGACACTCTAAAGCTGCTAACCTGGCTGGCTGCCTTCAGCTTCTTCTCTCTGGCCTGTCTCTCCAGGATGAGTCATAACATCTCCCATCCAGGCCTTCTCACCAGCCCATCTGCACATCTTTTCTGGACCACTTTCCTTCACCAATCACAGAGTCCTCTCTGCTTATGTTGGTCTCATCCATCCTCATATCTCCAGTGTCCATCAGAGAATGGTACACAGTATGTATTCAGTTAACGTTTGCTGAATAAATAAATCAGACATTCCTGTAAGAACAAATACTAGCTTTAAATAGATGAGGAAATACCAAGCACACACATGCATGCACATGTCCTTACAAGCAATCAACACAGAGAAACCAGGTCTGGGCTCAGCAAAGAGCATTGTACCAATATCAGTTTCCTGAAATCAGTGATATGCCATCGTTGTGTAAGACACTATCATGCCGGAAGCTGGAGAAATGGGTCCTTGCTACACTATTTTTGCAGCTTCTGAGTCTGTATTTCTTTCCCCCGCAAAAGACAAGAAGTCCCAGGTACCAAGTGAGCAGCCAAGGCATTTCACACCCCTGTGCGCACATGGACACTCACACTCACCACCCTTTCTTACCTGTCTCCCACTCAGGTGTCTGATGAAATGTGTTCCTTTCTGAGATGTCCAGATCCAGCCCCACAGGCACTTTCTCAGCTTATTTACTTCCCCCAGTGGGTGGACTGTAACTAGAAATCTCTGTCTGTCATCTGTCTTCCCCTCCAGATCAGGCAAGCCACAGGAACAGGGACCTCAGCGGGCATGCGGTGCTGTTCCCCCAGCACCCGGCACAGCCTGGCCCGCCACACTCAAGGAATACTTGCTGAATGAGTAACAAATACCTTAGTGACTTAGTGAAGAAAGTGCCCAAACACCAACACTGAGAGTGATGTTACCTGATTTTTAAAACAATAAAATGCAAGCCTGTGGAAAATACAGCACTTCAGCTACAGTTGGTAGGAAACTACTTGACAAATACACCTCGATGTCTGAGTAGGTAGGTTCCAGGAGGAAGCCCCCAGCCCTCAAGCTGGTGTCTTAGGGACAGGTGGCCAGTGGCAAGTCTCGGGACAAGGGAAGATGGAGAGGATTTAAAGAGAGGACAGACTAGGCAACACCACACTGATAAATGGGAGTTGTGGAGCAGGCTACACAATGCAGGATGCTGCTGAAGAGCAAGATCCTGGCCTTTTTATTGATAGAATAATTATACAGAATCAGTGGTGAGGGGAAGGAGGACAAGCAGGACAGGGAGGGGTGAAACTAGAAAATGTGCTCTGTCATTTATAGTGTCAGGGGTTGTGCCTCCAGGCACTACTCATCTGCTTGATGACTTGGCATGTAATTGAGATCAAGCCCTAGATCCCCAGCCAGGGTTTCAATCTTATCAACAAGGCGTTCCACTGACCAGCTTCTGGGGTCCCTTGTCTTACAGTGGTCTTCGGCCCCGGGGCATTCCCAGTTATACCTCCTGGTGCATGTCCTTCCCAGGTGATCAAGTTTTCTGCTCTTGATTGATTTGAAAGGCACCTTGTAGGTTTGGCTCTGACTGACCAGGCAGTTCTGACCTTGTACAGGAATGCAAAACTGCAGGTCACAAAATGGTGGCCGAACAGGCCGCTTAGGAGTAGCAGACCCTGAGAGAGGGTTTTTCAGGACTTGGGAACCAGCATGAACGGAAATCTTTGTGACATCCAGGTCATTGTCTTCAGACCTAGTGATGTCACCTCCTGTGACCCCTTGGTCATCTGTGAAGAGTGGCACAGGGGTGATGGTGGTGAGCAGGACAGATAGACTCTGCCCACACGAGCGCTTCCTCTCTAGATATCAGCTGTCCAGTGAAATAAGATTTTAAACCTCAACCTCGTCCACTGATGGACACTTCCTGATGGACAGTAAGGAGTTTAGAGATTGTACCCCAATATTTCTGAGTCTTTGCTGGTTGGGAGAAAGTCCAAGGCTATATATAGCTCATCAGGGACAAGCAGGAATCCTGCCCCTTTGGGAAAACCCTTCATGTGGGGCCAGCCACTTCCGGTACCCTCCCAATCGTGTAGAGAGAAGTCAGATTCTTTTCTTCCTTCGGGTGAAGTCATCTAAGGTCATAGACACCAGTCTTGGGTGGTAGGGAGTTTGGCTAATGCTGTCAGAAGCCTTGCGATGGAGGGCTGTTCCCACATACTTGATTTTTCTGTCATGTCTGCCACCTACTGACACAGGTATCAATATTTTGCTATTTTATTAGGAAGTAATGCAGGGAACATTCAAAACTAACTATTGATATTCCACCCCTTACTCCAGAAGCTTGCAGATGAGGCAATTTTAAACAACCAGCTCTTACCCAGAACAGATCTTCCTGGCCAAACCCAGCCTTTTTTCCTTTTAGAACAGAGAGTGTCTATTTCAAAAACACCTTTACCCCACAGAGACCCCTGGAGGCCTTTCCATTCCAGTCTTTGCCCCTGGGCCCCGGTCATGGCACCTTGTTCTGAGATCATACGATGTTGGGGCTCCCCTGATGGCTTGGCTGAGGACCAGTGCTTACGGCAGAAGAGACAAGCATGGGTGCCAGCCACCTTTCCACGTCAGAGCCGAGGGAACAGATCCCAGTCTTCTCTACATCCCATCAACTGAGTGGACACCGGGGTGCCCAAGCACATGGAGGTACATGTAGGGGAGGGGCCCTGAGATGCATCTGTCCTCTTCCCTGGTTCCCAGATGGGGGAGGACAGAGGCAGCTCAGGGTCTCCTCTTGCAGCAGAGCCAAGTCTGAGGGCTCCCACCCGCACAGCCCACTAAAAAGCAATCCTGGGGTCACATACACATGGACCGAGAATGACTCCCTTTCTCAGAAACCTGTGCTGAGAAAGCGTCCTTACCTTAGTTCAGACAGTGGCCTCTACCTTCTTGCCTAACACTTTAGCAACTGGGCAGGTGGGTTTCTTCTTTCTTTTCCTCTTTTTTTTTAAACCATGGAACATTAGTTTCAAACACTGTGTTTGATTTAGGGGCATGGGACCACACCTCTCAGATGAATGTAACCATACCACACCCGCCACCAAAGCACCCAGAGACCTTCACCTTAGTCTACTGGGCCCTGAACCCCCTCACTCTCCACTTCCTACAACCCCTCTGGCAGTTTCAATTCTACAGTCAAATTTCTAGTTTAGTTTAGTTTAGTTTTTCTAGTTGGGTTTAGTTTTGTTTGTTCCTTTGTTTTTGTTCTCTCTATATTGCATATAAGAGTGCAATCATCCAGCATTTGTCTATCTCCTTCTGATTTATTTCCCTTAGTGTAATCTCCTCTAGTTCCATCCATGTTGTTGCAAATACACCAGTTCATCTTTTTATTCATCGCTGAGTAGTATTCCATTGTGCATATAAACCACATCTTTGTCTGTCCTTGGGCATTTAGGTTGTTTGCATAACTTGGCTCTAGCAAATAGTGCTGCAATGAACACAGGCATGCATATATTCCTTCAAATTAATGTTTTTGCATTTTTTGGCTAGGTACCTAGGAGCAGAATTGTTGGGTCATATGGTAGATCTATTTTTAATATTTTGAGAAACCTATATAGTGTTTTCCATAGGGGCTAAACCATTCCCATCAACAGTGTACACCATTGCCAACATTTTTTGTTTCTGGATTTTTGACATGGGTCATTCTCAGAGGTGGGAGATGAGAGGGGGTTTTCAAGATGGCCACAGAGGGTGTGTTTTACACCATTGTCCAAAAGGGACTCCTGAAACTCAGATTTCAGCATTGGAAAGAATGTGAAGAGTGATCTAACACCTTCACATGAACTATTTATCATTTCAGGCACTGAGGTCACATTCTACTCACTCTGGTAGATGACAATTTGTGCTGCAATTTTCTGAGGTGGAATCACCTAGAATTTTCCACTTAAATCTCAACTCTGGAGCTGTCTGGATGTGGGCAAAGCCTAGGATTTTATCATAAAATTAATTTAAGATACTTTTTCTAGCTTTTTGGTTTTCATGAACAATGTTCTTTTTATTGGTTGACTGATTATATAGATAGAATACTGGGGTGTCCCCATCTCTTTAGATTTCCTTGTTTTCATAAACCATGCACACACACAGTTCCTACCAGCTGTCCCCAAATGTGTCACACTGTGACCAGCACTGAGCATGAGGGAGGAAGTCAGTGAGTGTCTGTACCCCCAGGCACCTCGAAACTCCTGCCTCTTGAAACTTCCTGCTGCCTCTGATCCATCACCTCTACTTATTAGTCCTTATTTTCATCCCTTTTCTTTTCATGTCTGCCTCCTCCTAATCATAACGAAGTCCACGAAGACATACAAGTTACTCTGCTTAAAGCAGATTGAGAGGTGAGTAACGAGCACACTCAGTCCCCCGGGGACAGCCATTTTGTTACCACAATATGACTGTGCCAAACTAAAAGGAAACCCTAGTTATTTCTCCTCTTTTTCATCTTTCTTCCAAATGACAGTGTGGAGAGGTTTCTTTTTTTGACGGTTGCCTTCTAGTGCCTTTTGGTTTATCTGACAACCCTCCTGCCCCCGGCCAGACCTATTGGGGTAGGAAAGGCTATTGGAGAACTTGGAACAGCGAGATGGCACTAGATCTTGCCCACCAGAAACCCACAGCCCAGTCACAGGCACAGAGCAAGGGCTCTAAGATGCTGAGGGCTAACACGGGTCTGAATAGACTGCAATCAGGGCCTGTAAGACATGAGGCCCCCCATTAAAGCAAAACATTTAACATGAGATAGAAAATTACAGGGGGAATGGGGCAGCTCACCAAGAATCCTGACTACTCTTTTTGCAGGTTTTCTCAGTTGAATTATTGTGCCAGTCGCCATGCTGATCCTTGGTGCATATAGCATGGTGGGGGCACATTGATTTCACTACTGAAAAACTAAGGCAGAAGCCAGGGGCGCATTTGAATCTTTATAATAATGGCGAGAAGAGCAGGAACCACTGTTTTTGCTGGTAAAGAGGTTAACGCCTGGCACAAAGCAAGTGTTGGCTCTCAGAAGGATCCAGCCCAGCCCAGAAGCGGCCCCAGGCTCCTATGCACAGACATCTACACAGCACCTCTCCCAGCAGCTCTCGACACCCTAGGATTGGAGACAAGTTTCCACTGGAGAGGAAAATGAGAGCTGCCTGGGTCAATGGTAACAAGCTAGTCGCCACTGGCTTCTGAGCAAAGGATGTTCCTTTAGGAAGTGGCCATCCTCAGTGGGGTGGGTGGAACCTGCTCCCAGATATTCCTGAAGCCATCCACCTCCCAGCCAAGCACCCGAGGACCAGGTGGATCATCACAACACAGACTGAATCCAGGTTCCATCTTGATTGTGCACAAACAATTTCATCAGGGTCTATTTATAGACCAGCTAAACTTGATGTTCAGCAAAGAGAACTCCAGCAACTTCAGATTCGTTTGGCAGCTTTAGAAAACCCAGTTCCACTTCCTGGAATTTCTGAGTCACCTGATATGCATCACACACTAGAATTAAAAAATTAGAGTGGCCATTTTGAAGGGAATCATCCTACCACTATTACATATTTTTCTAGTACTTTTTGAGGAAAGAAAAATGAGTTAAATATAGTTCAACCTTTTTTTCTTATCTCAACAACCGCCATCAAAAACACTGATTATCCTCCTAAGTCTGGAATCATAAGAACCTGTTCTACCACCTTCAGCCTTTAAGCAAATCTTTTCACCTCTCTGTCTCAGTTTTTTCGTCTAAAAAAGTAGGAAGAATCAGAAAACCAAGCTAATTAGGAGTAAGGCTGCATTAACAACATAGTATCAGCAAAGATCTACTTAGAGTCTAGTGCATGGATTAGGAGAAGGCTGTTTCCTCCTCTGAGATACTTTTTTTGTTTCCTCCTAACTCCTAGCTATATTCCCCAGAGTTGAATTTGTGGGTTTACTGAGGCTCTCATGTGTGGATATAAATTCCGTTTGGGGCCTTGAAGAACATAAGCTAAGGCCCTGGTGGAGCTTGTTACACTAAAAACCCAAACTCAGACCCAAGTGTTCTGTTCCTACCAGGGAGACTTTCAGCACATGCCTGGAGAGAAAAGCAGCAGAGAGCAGAGCAGAGAGTGTCCCGAGCCTGGGAAGTGAGGAACATCTTCCCCTACAGTCAGCCCCCAAACTAACTGGGCTCTGTAAGAAGAAAGTATCTTCAGGATGGATGCCATTTTGATGTTCATGTAGGAAAATGAAGTACAAAGGATGATGATAAACACCTAAGAAGGGGAAGCCAAGGAACTTGGGTCATTCAAGAATTTCAGTGTAGGAGGAGCTGAGAGTGGGTCAACTAGGAAGGGGGACGGTGGAAAAGCTGTGATGCTACGTAACAAACATCCAACTTCTGCTTGCGTGGCTTACAGTTGTGTGTGAGATGGAGAGTATGGGGGGTGTAGACCCAGATAGCCCTAGTTCAGTCCCTGGAAATGACAATACTGAAGGGGTGAAACAACCCCACTTCAAGTGACGGTTCACTTTTTTAAAAAGAGATTTTTATTTATTTACTTTTGCATGGAAGAACTAGGATGTAGGCCAGAGGTGTGGAGGAGGGGGTGAGAGGATTCATCAGAGACAGTGGGGAGCAGAACAGGAAGATCTACTGAAATACACTGCTGAGGGGAGCAGCGGAAGAGACAGGAGAGGTCTGCTGCTCCATATATGGGTCAGCTCCCTGGCCGGGGATCGAACTCAGACCTTAATGGTGATAGTGCTGAGACTTAACCCCTAGGCCACCAAGGAGGCCCTGGTTCACTTTTCTTAAGGATGTAAAGAATGCTCTTACAAATTCTACTCTCTTGCTTCTCAACAAGTTGAGCCAGTTGTCCAGAGTTCTCTCTCTAATATTAAATATTGTGGACCTTCCTGGTGGCACAGGGGTTAAAGTCTCAACACTATGAAGCTATTGGCAGCCACTGCAGCCTGAGTTTGATCCCCTGCCAGGGAGCTGATCCACATGGCACAGCAGACCTCTCCTGTCTCACCTGCTACTCCCCTCAGCAGTGTTTTTCAGTAGCTCTGTCTGTTCTGCTCCCCACTCTGTCTCGGGTGAATCTCCCCCCGCCCCCGCCCTGGTCCCCCCCCACCCCCCCGCCCCCTGCACCGCTGGCCTACAACCCAGCTCTTGTATGCATAAATAAATAAGTCTTCATAAAAATAACATTGATACTGTGGATAAATACAGATGCTTAGAAACATTCCAGCTCTCTTTCAAGGTCACAGTGGTGTTATCTTCTCCCAGCTACTTGAACTTAGGCAACATGACTGGCTGTGGCTTGCAAAATCTGAGCGGAAATGACAGGTGCCACTCCTGAGTGGCATTTAGACCCAGCTCACGCTTCCACATTTCCTGCTTTCCCTCAGTCACAGGATGGGGAACGCCCCATCCACCTCCATCAGGGAAGCAGAACAAGGATGGCAGGAAGCAGCGTCCCCAGCCTATGTCAATTGAGACATAAAGTGAGCAAGAAATGAACCTTCATTGTGTTATGCCCCTAAGCTTTGGGGGCCATTACCGAACCTACCCTGAGGGGCACATACATGCCATTAACTACCAGAATGCGGGCCTCTTCTTCCAAATTGGCAATGAACTGATTGTCAAGTGTTTAATTATATTAAAACAGATTGTGTATACCCACAGAGTTCACAGTAGTAGAAATCCGATGGTTTATCACAAATGTAGATACAGTTTTTAATTACAAGAAACTAATCTCCTTTCCAAAAGGTAAATTACAAAACTGTGCTCTCAATCCCCATTCCCCTGCTTTGTCTCCTGAATTCCCAGCTGCAAGGACCAGACATTAAAACCTGCTCCAAATGCATCATCGACCACTTTGATAAACTCCAGTTTCTGGTATGGGAGGTTTCCCCACAACGCCCCACCAGCAATTGTGATCCCCCTCCAGGTGTCAGACTGGTCTGGCCACATGGGCTGTTGCTTCTGCCTTCCCTGTTGAATCCAGAGTTTTAAAATGTAGCTCCTCAAGCATCACTATGAGTCAGATTCAACCCCATTTGTCATGTCTCCAAAGCACATTTTATTTTATTTTATTTAATATATAATATACAAACTAGGACAAAACTTTAATACTCCCCTGCACTAAAAAAAAAAAAAAAAAAAAAAAAAAAAGGACAAACTAGTCTTCTACAGCAAAGGTAGCAAAACACAAAAGTAGTACACAGTTACAATGTAGCCTAGGAACACTGGCTGAGCTGTAGGGAATAAAATCCCTCATTTCTAAAGATAAGGCCCCATAGACAAAGATTCTGTTTACATGAAGTCACTGATTCAATCATTTGGGGTCAATTTATTGTTTTAGCCAACATTACCCTTTTCACTTATAAATCAGTACCAATCTAGTCATGTTAGTGACCAAAATAACTATACCATGATCTAATTTCTTAGTTGTTAAAATGACCAGATCAGAGCCACTGCTGGTGAATCAATAAAATGCCTGGAAATTAATATGAAGGGAAATGTACAGCCAAGCAGCTGGCTGGTAGGACCTACTTCCCACCTACATCCCCACCCCAAGGCTTATCATTTATCCCTAAATTCTGATTTTCCAAGGTGCCCTGGGCCAGTCTCTAAGTACTTTGATGTATGTGTTGTAGAACCACTTGGATGTAATAGTCAATTAAATTATTAATGAAAGAACTATACAAATAAAAGCATCATGCTCTTTCATGTAGTAATAATTATTATCGCAAGCAATGCAAATTGAATAATAAGAATCATCAGGACAGTTCAGTGATAAGCCAACAATTTCCGGCAATCAGACCAAACATCTCTGCTCAAGCTGTTTAATAAAATAAATAGCAGCTTGTTGACATTTTTTTTTTTCCCCAGTTAAGCACATATACATCCGGAAGCTACTTATGTGTCCCGGGCAAAAGAACTTAGAAAGAAGTAGGAACAGAAGGACATAAAAGTAGAACCAGTTACAATGGTGATAATCTAGGTATTTCCACATCTTAAGAAAACAATGAATTCTATAAATTGTTCCCAAATCAAATGATGTAATATATTTATTTATACACACACACAGGCACACATATTTACACATACATGTGTATCAGGTACATTCAGGTATTCATTGCTTTTTGATAGATCAGGTTAATTCAGTTCACTTTACAAAAGACCTGCTTCTACAATTGAAAGAAATCAGAAGAGGATTTTCACTTTTATGATAAAAGCCAAAACCAGCATCAGCACTGGTTTTGCAGCAGCCATTGAGGAGGTAGCAAGAGTGGAACCACCAAGTTCCTTCCCTAGGAACTTCTTTATACAGGTGTGTATTTATATCATTCCTACTTTTACTGTTCATTAGTGTTATTTTAAGTTTGATGTTTTATTTGGCATGATTTAGAGAGTTATTTTTGGGGTCTTAGGATGCTAGAAAATTTTTCCATATAAATTGATGGTAATAGCTTCTTGGCTTTAGGTCATTCCATAGAAACATGAAATGACCTAGGAAACATCTCATAAAACCCTCTACTTTTGGAAAGCAGGGGAAACTTGTACACACACACACACACCACACAAAACAATACGTTCCAGTAACTAAGTATAATGTTTCGGTTACATTCATGTGAGGGCTAAAGTTAAATGCCATAATAATAACACGCTGTCACTATTTAGAAGCATTTATCAAGCACCGAACTACCTATTACACAGTCATATGCCACGCTGTATCTGCAGCATTTCTTTGTTCATCTTAGAAACCCTGATGGAGCACTCTAGAAATCATATAGTCCTCAAACAGAACTTAGTGCTGCCCAATTCTTAGAAGAGGTGTCCATTCATCAGCTCAAACTAATCACAGAGAAATTCTTTATTTTTTTAATATTCATTTATTTATGCATACAAGAACTGGGGTACAGGTCAGAGGTGTGGATGGTGAAAGGATTCACCAGAGACAGAGTGGGGAACAGAACAGGCAGTCTGATGAAACACACTGCTGAGAGGAGAAGCAGGAGAGACAGGAGAGGTCTGCTGCACCAAGTGAGCAGCTCCCTGGTCGGGGATCAAACTTGTGCTGCAGTGGCTGCAGGCAACTTCATAAGTTGCTTCTTAACCCCTTGCGCCACCAGGGAGGCCCTAATCACAGAGAAATTCTATTAAACTTGAATTGGTGAGTAATTTGGACCTCCCAGTAGCTACTATAACCATGACCTGCTTCTTTTTGTTCACCTGGAAAAATCTGTATTATATGTGCGGTAACGATATCCTCTGGTATTTAGGGAGAATGAGTCAAGCACAGGGAAGTCTCCTGGGCTTCCAGCAAGAGAAGGAAAGCTGAAGGGTGGGCTCAGGCGTCTTGCTGTCAGATATGTTCATCTCACAAACCATCTCCTACAGGGTCTGAGTGTAGACAGAGGCAGCTTACTAGAGGCCATTTGACTAGGCTTGGGGGTGCCACCTTCCCTTCCTTCACACTGAGCTATCATAGCAACGAGGCCAGTTGGGATGCTGTTCTCTTTGAGAGAAGCCAAACCCACTTCGGACAGTTTTCCTCTTCTGACTCCC